GCCTTCAAGCGACCCGGCTTCTTTCGCGCATCTTTATCGGATCTTTCGCGCTAAACCTACTATGATTTCACAAAAAGATATCGCGGCATGGCGGGACCGCGAGCTTGAGACCTGTGTGCCTACGGACTGGTGCAGCATATACCTTGCAAGTCCTATACGCCCCAAATCTGTTACACAACAACTTTCGCCGATTATTGCTTTCCTTTCGCGGACCCATCGCGGATGTTTCGCGGACACACTACTTTACATGTTAAAACCGTTTATAGGACACACTACTTTACATGTTAAAACCGTTTATATAATCCCCACACAAGGACCTTTGGATCAATGCTCATTTTTAAATTCTAGATATGTATATACATATATGCGCATAATAATAATCATGTAATGGAGAAAAATGACATGTACTCTGAAAAACTTTTTGTCCGTGTCGGACTCATCAGACTCATGCCTCGGGGAGGATTTTGGGTTCTTGGCTTTCAGGGCTGTCGCGTCTCAAATTTCTGGGTGAAACTTAGACAGTGGCAGCTTTTGTGATACACCATCTGGATTTGCGCATATGTTTACCATGCAGATGCATGCATGCGTGTGCATCTAATTCAGGCTGGCAGCCGCACCTGCTTAGTAACTTCCGAACAGGTTTGGGAGAACTTGCGAGAACGCTTCTTGGACGCAACCGGGCAAGGAGGGCCACTTCGGATTTTTGCGGACGCCCACCATTTCCGAGTGTCTTGTCTCCTCTGACACTGATGCAAGTAACGATCGTCACACGAGGACAAGTACTGTGTGCGCGGCGCAGTCTCTGCGTCCAGAAAGCATGGAACTTTGCATCGCCGGCGCGAGCAAAAGGAAACTGCCAAGAGGAAGGCGCATGAGATCGTGTGCGCCCTGTGCGGAACACTCTGATGCTGACTGCCGCTGGCTTATGGTGGCTTGGAGCCCAAGCCAAGGCCAGAAGACGAATAAGGTCTCGCGGTGTCCAACTCACCATGCGACCCGTGAGCGCCTCGAACCAGCGATGCGAAGTCCAAAGACCATTCTTCCAGGCCTCTTCTGATTTTCGATGCCTCTAGGTGCTTGGCTTCTTTCACCTTCCGCATCAGGGATTCAAGCTGAGGCTTTCTTTGATGAAACTCTGAATTGGGCGGGCAACCTGCGCGGGAGACAGTTCTGTGGAAGCAGCCGCAGTCGCGTAGCCCTCCGTGCTGAGTGCGTAGCCTTTGGTCAGGTGTCTTGTGAAGTCTTGTGTGGCTTGGCAAGCCGCTTAGCTTTAAGGCCGTGTGAATCTGTTCGACACCTGCTTCAGCACAACCAAGGGCAGCACGCAGCTTCGGCTTGGTGACACTGCCGCTGACTTGGCAATGTCCTGTACATAGAAGCTCGACGTGGGACTAATGGACAGGTGACCGAATCGAAAGTCTTGAGGCCTTCCTTCTGTTAACCTTACAGCAACACTGTGCGGTTCCCAATTTCGGAGACATTGGGTCCTGCAGCCAGCAACTGCATGGCGTAAGACCAATGCCTGTCCACACCTGCAGGGCGCAGAATTCCAATCGAGACACATGAATTGGTCCTGCCCACAGCTACCATGCCAATGCGTTGCGAGTCGCGAGTTTCTCAGCCATTGCATGGACGATTCTTTAGACCAAACTTCTGATTCAGACGAGTTGGTCTCACAGCTTCAATGCCTCTGGAGATAGCTTTAGGCTTTAAAAGCAGTAGCAGCACGACTACCATAAGTTGGTCGACGGGAAAACTGACTACAAAGAGGGTTGGCGCGAGTAACGTTGGTCAACATATTGTGCAGTTGCTGTATCCTGCCCCGAAGAACAACGGTGATTGTAGGCCCCATGCCGATGAGCGGGGGATGGCTGACCGCAACGATGTCCTTTGCCAAGTGCCTTCGCCACTGGAGACGGAATCCATCAGTATCTTATGTAACCAATCCACGTGTGCCCCCCCCACCCAGTTGCCCGATGCCGGCCCTTGACGATGCTTCGGGACTCATTCTCAACTGCGAATGCCACTCCGTCCCCGACTTGCACCGCACAGCCAGTTGCAACACTGGGCCTGAAGCAGCTGGACCACTTGGCCGAGTCGTGCCGCAACGACTCAATGGCAAAGCGCCTGCGCCCGCTGACTGCTTGAATGACTTAAGATCCCTGACCCAGTGGATTGAACAAATCTACCCTTGGATATTAATCACCTCAAGTATGTGATTTGCCCATATTTCTAAGCCTTAGTCGTGTAAAGGCTTTAAAACTCCATACAGTTAGTCGGGGATTAATTGATTTTATGTTGTTGGGTATGCTGTAATTAGAGTTTGGGGATTTTTGCTTGATTTTGTATGGGATTTGCCTATGTCCAAGACATTCCGGATGTTAGGGGTATTTTATTCATAGCATATAGATTGATTTTTGGTTCAGGGTTTAGGGGTTTATTTAGGATGCAGGATTAATGCGTTTAGGGACCTAAAGCCTGTTCAGGCAAACCAGGGCAGAGGCCATGGCTTACGGCTTCTTTTGTGACGCGAACTTTGACCCGCAGAGATCCCTGCAAACATGTCTGCAAGGTACGGAGTCAGAACATTTCCATTCGACACCTTATGAATGAACTCCACAGACATACATTCTAAACTTCTAAACCCCACCTGAGGAGGGGTATCAAGGCAGCAGGAGTTGGCCCATCGAAGGTGGAGGGCCATTGGGGCTTGGGATTCTGCACGCCATGAGTCAGGGTTCAGGGCTTGTGTCGGATTGGGCGGAATTCTGAAATGCAGTGTTTCGGGCCGGGTTGTGTTTTCCCATGGATATCTCAGGGCTGAGACAAGAACCATGTTCAGGATTGCACGGCGGCTTTAGGGAAGACGAACGCCACCCCTCCACAAGGAAAAGAGGCGTTGACCCCGGATGGAGCAATTGCTGCGTGAATGGTCGGGGGGTCGCAGGCCTGTCGTCGATGTGGCGTTGGATGTCCATAACTGCAATGTCCAACAGGGTCTCCGGAGGCCGGTCCTGGCGAAGTATGGCGAAAGTCTCAGAGCCTTGGCACTTGGCTCACGACGGTCCTCTGCCAGATGCAGAAGTGGCCCGTCCGTCATGCAGGAGTTCCAGCGCCGGACACTCCGGACCACCACCACCTCAAGAAGTAGTTGCTTGGAACAGCAACCCAGACGCCCATGTTTGCTCTCCACCTCGCCGTCAGCGAGCGGCAAGCTTCCAAGAACCAACTTGGAACACAGCAACTCCGGCATCTCCCACAGAGGCACCTGAGCACAAGCTGCACAACTTGACCAAAAGGCTTTGCGCATCTGAGACGTGGCAGGTCTTTGGCCCTTCCGACTTCAATGGGCCTCCTCGGGAGGCGTCTTCACGTCAGCGACAGCTCCAAAGCTGCCGGCACCTGCTGTCTGCTGCGCGAAAAATGCCCATTCAGAAACACCACTGGGGGTCCCACTGCTCAGCAGAATGATGGCTCCTTGGCTGCCTGATGTGACAAACCGCTTATCTGCTTGTGCAGGCCAGTATGTTGGGCGCGCTGCCATCCAGCGACGTGGCAAAATCGCTGGTGAAGGTAACATCAGGAAGGCTCTCGCCTGGCACACATGCTACACAGCCCACTCCTTCGCTCACTCCTCGATCGCTCCCTTGCTCCCTCACTCACTCGCTCAATTAATCGCGCGGCGTAATCCCAATCAAAGGAGCGCGGCACTGGACCTCTCTGCAACCCCTCCTCATAGAGTCCTCGCAGTTTCTCGTGTTTTGGCCCTCCACCCTGGGTGTTTTAGGGTAGATAGGTTATGGCCTGACGGGGTTGCGGGTTGGTTTTCAGGGGTTTCACAGGGCCAGGACCTCAGATCTTGAAGGATTACGGTCAGAAGCTTCGTGTTTTTTGGACGCCAACTGCGTGCACCTTGTTTGGAGCGCGGACATCGGGGCTCCACTTCAAGCTTCACGGGAGTCCTAAGTTACACTGACTTCTTTGCTGATTGTCTCGGCGCCACAGGGTTTTACGCCGGTGTGCTTGGATCCCTGAGAATGACAGAGTGGATTCGTGGATCTAGTGAATCTAGTGCTCTAGTGCTCATGCTGTAAAGGCAATACAGTGGCGACAGCAGTCTGCACGCGCCTCGTTTTTGTGCAGTCGAATGGTTCAATCTGAAAGACTGGAATCGAACACTGAGAAGATGTTGATCTCCGAGGCTTATCTCTCCCTGTAAATCTGGTCCGGCGTCGTTAATTGCATTGAGAAGCTCGTGCGAGCGCGTAGGTGCAACACAGAACACGAAGCAGTTAGCTGAGCAGCACAGGAACCCAACCCTTAAAACCAGAGGACAAACGACGAAGACACCAAGTAAACCCAGCACAGAACTCCTTCTTTTGTAACCTGCAAACGGGGGAAGATGCCGAGTCTCAAACCATCTAGAAAGAGTGACTGCACCCCACAAAACTCTGTTACTCAACCCTTCGAGCATTCCTAGGAAGACGTTCTTTATGCTGCCGTCCGTCCTTCCCCCAGCCAGAACAAAAAACACCGGCACAGGCACATGATGCCTCGACACCTATCCCTGCCACCCATGCTGCACGACCCAAAAAGGGGGAGATACTCTTTGCTGTGAAGTCCATCTGTGTGAGCCCAAAACCGCGGGTCAACATGGCCTTCTCCTCCGGACTCTTCGTCAGCCCAGCTGTCTGCCTGCTCAGCCTGCTCCTCGAAGGATGGGAACCCAGGAAACAAACCGAGGAAACAGAGCTCGCAAGAAGTTGTTTGTCCTGCAGTTCGCTCTGCATCTGCGGACTCCCGACTTGACCTCGCAGGTGCACCATGCACATTTCGGCAAATGAGCCGTGCGTATCGCCTTCAGTTTCTTTGGCATCCACTGGCGGTGGACCTAGGCGCATCGTGCTACACGTACCGCATACAGCTGATAGACTGGAAAGCTGGGATCAGCACTGGTAGGATCTGGAAGATATCTCCGAATGGATTCTCGGGAGGACATGGCTTTTTCAAAGACGACTTCGCGGTCACATGCCGCCTTGACCTTCACATGCCATCGACCCACACGACAATGCACTTCCAACTCATTGGGAGCATGGCGGGAGAGCTACTTACACGCACTGCAATAGAGAAAGAACCACAGCCACCATGATCCGAAGGGAATCTTGCGCCTCCGAGCCACAATAGAAATAGGCAAGAAGGCACAAGATTTTCTGCGGCGCCGCCTGGAGCAGAACAACGTTGCACAAATGTCGCATACAGCCCAACGGACCCCTATGGGAGGTCAAGTCAGCCAGTTGTCCTGCCTTTGCCGAGGACAGGTACAGCTTCTGCAAATCAACGAAGCCTCGCACATTTAGCCTGGCACAAGCCACGCCGGAATTTCGTGCAGTTGTCGGGTCATGAGGAGCCGGTCACAAATGAGCGCGCGCTGTACTTGCACATGCCAGCTGGACAAGGCCGCATTGGCAAGCAAGCAATACACAGTGGAGGCCGAGAGCTTCACGACCTGGCTTGAAGTGTAGGCTTCAGCAAACCGAACCTTCCCTGCCAATAGTCGACCGTGCAGATTACACTACGGGCTCCCCAAACCATTCGGGAGTTTTTGTTGATGATGACAACTTCCCAGCATCCACCATACTTACGTCCTTCTGCTCCTTCGCGGTTCTGCGCTCACAAGGCTACTGCTTATGGCCTTGAAGGCAAAACGTACAGGTGCAGTGCAGCCCTGTCGCTCGAGTAGCAGCAGGGCTAGGTCCAGAGGTTTGGACATTGCAACGATACCCTGCATGCAGTGTCAAAGTAGCAATAGACCTCAGAAGATAAGGCTCCAACGGACTACGGCGCAGGGATAGTCCAGCAAAATGGAGGCAAAATGCAAGCAACAGAGAGTCAGAGAGACAGAGAGAGAGACAGACAGACACGCCGACGGAGAGAGAGAGGGAGACAGGGACACAGGCAAGCAGATAGATAGATAGATAGACAGGTAGACAGATGACCGACAGACAGACAGACAGGCCGACAGACAGACAGACAGACAGACAGACAGACAGACAGACAGACAGGCAGACAGGCATGTTGCATACATGTTTGCATGCATACATACACAGCAAACCAGCATGCAAACATACCTACCCGCAGACGTCGTA